CTTCCGTTTATCGGAAATCGCTCAAAAGTTTATCAAGATCTACGATTTTGATAAAATATTTATATATGAAATTTCATCAACCTAGCTGTAACGGTATTCAAGTTATCGTGTTTACACACAGACATACAGACAAGATTGCAAAATTATGTTTTTCCGTATCAGTGAGGTGTAAAACGTCGAGATTTGTAAAAATCTCTTTTTTTTTTTGCACGATTACAATACTTTCTCTATACGAGAAGTGTTAGCGACAAAGACGTGTTGGGGTTTATTTCAAGAGTCCAGAAATTGAAGTCGTGAGGACTTAGCTCATCCCACAATTTTAGGGCTTCCCAAATTTTACTTTTTAACAATAGTACACACAACTCGACGATTTTCGTGTAGATTTTTTTTACAATCTCAATAAATCGTTTAACGTTTCTACCACAAACATTTTTTTGCAAGTACAGAAATTTGATATTTATTCTCTCATGAAATTACACGTTTTTATGACTAGACTTGTAGATACAATCACACATAAAATTTCCAAGTGTTAATCCTAAAGGATTTCGATCGTAATTTCATGTTTAAAAAATATCGTATTACAGTTCTTTATTTGAACTAATTTATATGATTTACAAACTAAATTTAAAGGTTATTAATGTTTTTATTTTAGCTACATTGTTAGTTTATTTAGAGAAACTCCCATTTAAAATATATTTGAATAATTTGCTTTTGGTATTTCTTTTACTTATCATCAGAAACTGGTCAGTTTACTGTGTTAAATAATCATGGTGGCTCAAAACTCAGACACAAGAAGTGAAGCGTAACAAAAAGACAACAACATACAAACGCTTAAAAATGAGGGAAAGAACCAAAAGTCAGAAAGATTTGATGAATGAAGATAAAGTATTAGATATACACACGGCAGTTTACGATGGAGTTGAAAGTTATTTTAATGATGAAAGCAACTTGTGCAATAGCAATGTAAACGCGCAAACTACTAAGGGCTGGACACCGCTAATGGTTGCGTGTAGTATAACGGATCGAACATCAATAGCAGAAACACTTTTAAAAGCTGGGGCAGATGTTAATTTAATTAATAATGAAGGATGGACAGCGAGAGAGTTAGCTCAATTTTTTAAACTTGATGAGATTGAGAATCTATTCAAGCGGACGGGCGGATGTTTTAATGGCGAACCCGTCACGTTGCATCCTTCACTAATTACAGAAACAATCAGACCAGGTAATATGATACAATTTGTAAACAGTTGAAACACACAAAGTAAATTTCTATGCGTAAAGTTTTCAAAAATATTTTCTGTCACCAGTGGATGTATTGTGGAGCTATTTCGTTTGGACATTTTAACTTACTAAATTAGTGTGCGTTGTTTTCAGTAAAGAAAATATATATACAGTAAAGTATATATATATATATATATATATATATATATATATATATATATATATATATATATATATTGCACATAGATTTGTGCAGTTGAGCTCAAATGTTTGTTGCTATAAAGTATGTTTGTGTATATTTATAGAAAATTCTTAAACCTTAAAGCAAATTTCCAATGTGTGTATATTGTAAATCCGTATAAACTGTGACAACCTTTATTGTTTATTGAATAATTGAATAATAGAAAATATTTATTAAACGATTGATTATCATCTTTAAAATATATATTTTTTCAAAACTTTTATTTTTAAGGTTAAGGGATAAAACTCAAATGAAGCTGTTATTTCAGTGAATCTTTTTGCCTATCGTGGTTACTGGCTTGTAACGTGTATTTCACGCTGAAGCTTTTTAATACAATGTTTTAAAATGTATACTTGCCCACTGTTTCAAGCATAATTAATAAACTTCTATTTAAATTAATAAACTCCTATTTTAATTAAACAACAGATTGGTGCAAGTGTGGATCTTGTCTCCCCCAAGACTGCAAGGAAAAAGAAGTTTGTTGCCATCAAATCCGCGACAAGATTAAAAAGAAGAAGATGAGGAGATTTGTGGAAAAAAAATGCATCACCACGTCAGGAAGCTTTAAAGACACCTCACTAAATAAAACGTATCTGGATACTAATTGGAGTAAATTTAAATTTGGATCAAAACCATGCACTACGTAAGGATCTGTTTTCTTTTAATCCAACAAGATACACTGACATTTACAATGAAAATAGTAGTCGAGTATTTAAACTGTTGTGCATGTACGAATATTAATGACATGAAACTCAAAACCATTTTTATTAATATAATGTAGGCTATGCTTTTAAATAGGAAAATCAGAAAATAAAAAATGATTTTCTATTTTTTCAGAACAAACCTTCATAATGCAAAGTTTAAATTGATATGCATTATTCTTTTTATAGACCTGAATACATTGAACTGGCGTGTAAAGTTTTTAAGATAAACGTCACGGGTCAGTGCATCGAAGAAATGGTCGTTCCGGCATGTGTTTTACAAGAAACTGAGCTAAAATTTTCTTCAGAAAAATGTACACACGAAACGACTGGGTAATGATATTGTGTCTTGTTGCAGTTCATACATTACTTCTTTTATATTTTACATGTAACGACATCTTAAATAACTGATGTTTCTGTAGTCGTATCTAGATATAAATTTAGCGAGAGAATACCGAGTCATGTGGGTTCAAACCTAATCAAATTTATAATATCTAGGTTGTTTGTATGTGTTTTGTCCAGCTTTTACCGTCTCACATCTGGAAATTTTTAATTTCTTTGTTTAATCTATAAGCGAAGCCTCGTCTTTTAAAACAAAATATTACCTCCCCCATCATCCCTAAATACCTGAAACCCCTGCCCAAAAGGCTATTACATTTACACCCCTTCTCGTCATGATAGTCCGCCTTGGAGTGTAAAGTCGTTTACTTAGGTCCTCTTTATTTCTGAAATCGATAGGCAAACAATTATTATCTACACTTAACGAAACTTATAATTATGAAATAGTTTGCCTCTTTAAAGAATAATTATAACTATATTATTTACAATACAAACATTATGCAATAGTTGTAAAATACTTATCTAATTCAATATTTAATAATATAATCAAAATTTAGTCGAGTGAAAATAGTATTAAATTATCCTAATATATAAAAGACCCTGTGCGCATTTCTCTCTCTCTCTCTCTCTCTCTCTCTCTCTCTCTCTCTCTCTCTCTCTCTCTCTCTCTCTCTCTCTCTCTCTCTCTCTCACTCTCTCTGGCCGCAAAATATTTTCGCCGGACATCACATCAAAATCTGCAGCGATATATGAAGAACTTTATACGGACTTTTGTTGAAAATAATATGTTAGATGTTTTAAATATATAACAACAATTTTATTTAAAGAAGAAAAATAAAAATAAAGGCGTATTCGAATGTAGAAAAACAATTTTAATTATGCAACCGGAAAATGTATATACTTGGGACAAGAACGCATTTAACATTGACGTCGCTTATTGTTTACACTAAAAAAGAGCACGAAACTTATGACGTCATCTTCCGAGTTTAGAATAAAATAAAGAAATGAACAATTTCATTCAAATATGATTTAGAGCTACGTTCGCTATAAAATTTATACAATACAATTTTGCTCGGGATAATCTCTAGAGATTCTAGATCTAGAGATTCTAGATCTAAATCTAGATCTAATGATCTAGATCTACGGAAAAACTAGACTTACACAGATGTAATTTGTTTATCTATGTAATTTGCTAATCTCTATAATATATAAAGCAAAGTTGTCGGGTGCCCGAAATTTGGCAGGATCTTGCCTTGGGGCGACAGAACACGGGGGCCGGTTGGCCGAAAAGTCTACGATGAGGGGGTCAAAACTGACCTCGACTGACCGGCGCCTGATATGAGCTATAAATCGGAAAAAAATGTCCACGTAGGAACCTCTTCATAACTCCTGAGGCAAAAAGGCAAAAATTGCTCTGAGTGTATTCGTTATTGAAATATAAACGCCTTAACCTATTCGATTCACTGTAGACTCTTGAGCACTGGTTTAAGATTTTGATTTGAAAAAATATTATGCTAGAGTAAAATTTAAGATTTTGTTACGATCATTAAGATGCCTAATTTTGATGGAAATCGGATTATTACAATTTCAAATAATTAGTGTTAGTCTTTCTTAAGGGCAATCTTATCGATAATTATCATACTACCCGTCCGGGCCAGGCCCTTCACTGACTTCTGTGAGAAAACTACCTGCAAAGGCCCGTGACTTGTGTGTTTATTAAGTAGCATATACCCGGCGTTGTTCGGGTTTAGGATATACATTACTTTTTCAGTTAAATGTCTATATGAAAATAAGGATGTTGGAGGAAATAACACATAATTCTAAACCTAACTCTAAACTTAACCCTAATCACAACCAATCAAAACACAAACACAAAAACAAGCGTAACGTCCTCACAAACACAAACACAAACACCAACCCAAAAACAAACCCAAACGCAGACGCAAACACAAACAAAACCAAAAACACAAACGTAAACACAAAAGCAACCGAAACAAAAACGTAACTACAAACAAAAACACAAGAGCAAACATAAACATAAAAAACACCACACAGACGAAGCAAAAAAACACAAACATATAGTGCTCCCACTATAATCTGGGGAGGGGGGGGGGGGCAAATTACAACCCGCGGGTCGCTGGTTGACGCGCCTGATTCAATATAGTGAATGAATATAATACCTCATCTCATCATATTAACAAACGGAAAGACAAAAGTAAACTTAGAGGGCATTGAGGAACGGCTTCTAAACTGTTATTAAACATAAAAATTAGAAAACAGTAGATTCAGTGTATAGCATCAAATAAATAAAAAGCATTTAAAAACCCGTGTTTTCTCACCACATTTGACTTTATAAATCCACACTATTATATTGTTACTTTTTTCCAACATCAAAACATAGAAGTATTATTTTACCTTATTTAATGCTTGTTTTTCTTCTGATTTATCAAGGAAATAATTGGAGCTATGGGTAGTAATTCGTAAATTTAAAGACACATTTATAATTTTTGTAAATGGTGATACAATTAATTTGATATTGTATTTTGCACATAAAGTTTCCCTTTTAAACCTGGCGATCTATTGGGGCAAGTGAAGTAGAGTTTACTAGTTTCTGTGACCTCGGCATATGAAGAGATAGTGTGGTCAGCACAATGCCCAGCCGCCTTTACTTTCCCTAATGTGAGTTAGGTACCCATCAGAGTTGGGTTGAATCAGGGACGGTCTACTGACGTGAACCCGGATTCGAACTCGAGAATTACGGATTAGCAGTCCAGCTCTCTACCGCTAGACCACCCCGTCCCATATTTTGCACATTGCGTCAGTTAAAAATGATAAGTTTTGAAAATGAAAACGTTTTTACAAATTAATCAATATTGATTTTTTAGATATCAATTTAAATTTTAGTCCGAAAATGAAAAGCTTAGAAATATTATACATCGGCAATCAGGTCGAGTTTATTAATATATACTTGCCTCTCACAAGCATACCCGCAGAGCGCAAGTTCATTTCATCTTTATATAATAGAATAGTCGTCCCGGTCAGGCCCTGCACTGGCCAATGAGAAAAACCCATCTGTAAAGGACAATGGCATGTGTGTTTAGTAGTCAGCATATACCAGGCATCGCTCGGGTTAAAAAATATATCAGTTTTCGAATTAACCCTAACCACAACCAACCTAAAATAATACATAAAAAAACGCAAACTTATCACAAGCACAAACGCAAACACAAACTCAACTACAAAAGCAAACACCATTACAAAGAAAACACAAACGGAAACAATAGGGAAACGAAAAGAAAATCCAAATCCAAACGTAAACACAAACCCAACCACAAACGCGAACCCAAATACACAAAACAAGGTAATTAAAAATCTTGTGACAATTTAAGCGCAATTTCCTTATGTTATCTAAAAATAGCTCTGTCGTAGCGTAAATCAAGAGCAGGGTTAGTAAAACCATTTGTTAGTTATTAAAACGTTTTTTATTAATTTTTTTTCAGTATTTTATATGTTTTATTTACAATAGAGTTACATGACTAAAAACCATTGCGCGCCTAGCTACTGACAGTGATGAAGCAGCCATTGAACGTGATGGCGCAGCTATTAAACGTGATGACGCGTGTGGTGTGGTTGGATAAACATGCCTACTAATTCGGTCCAAATTTTAATTAATTCAAAAAAATTTTTGTGACCGAACGAAAGGATATTTTTGAAAACTTTCTTCGGCAATATTGTTCTAAATTATGACAGGAATCGATTGGTAAATGTTTCAAGTCGCTAAGTGGTCTGGTTGTCGAGATATGAGCCAAAAACTGCATTTTTATTCGAAGTTTTTTGGCTTTTCCAGGAAATCCATGAAAGAAACCCGGAATTTGGCCTATGTTCATCCTCGTAGCTTGCTTAACATAATTGCTTTTGGAACTAGTCCTTGATATTGCTTCGTTGAGGAGGAGATACGACTTAAAGCTGCGGACACACATCCATTCATTCATACATTCATACATCCAGAAATGACGGGTTAATAAACGCAATTCTCCAGAATGGAAATTGCGCTAAAAACGACAAACACACACACAAATGCAAACACAAATGGAAATACAAATACAAATACAAACGCAAACACTAACACAAAGAAAACACAAAAACAAACGCAAACAAAAAAAAAACGAAAACTAACACAAATACAAACCTAAACACAAACTCTAACCCAAACCCAAACACAACGAAAACACACACGCAAACTAAAACGCAAAAAATTGTATATAATTTTATCGCAAAGCGCTTACATTCTAGCCCGTGACGCAATATTGCACCATGCGGAACTGCCTGATTAAACATAGTAAACTATTATAGTACTCCAAATTATTGATAGACGTGTCCACTCTTGTAAAAAGACGTAGGTGCCACGTTTTTCATCGCTTATAGTAGAGTGATCGCTTGCATTATTGTGATGTATAGCATTTATTTTCTACTTTTTAGTTCAATCAGAAAACGTGTTTTTTTAAAAACTTTTTTAATGATTATTATTATTGGGTTTGATTAACTAATCCCATGGTGTGTGCTGTTTGTGCGTTCCGCGGTGGCTGGCTGAGTAGGATTTTGTCTGTTTTGTGTGTTGTGTCGTGTTTGTGGGTAGAGGTGTACAATTCTATTTGGGAAGTGGTGTGTGTGATGTAAGATAAGCAGTTAGGTGCGGATTCTTTGATTAGTATTGTAGGGTCAGGGAAGTGATGTGTGTGATGTAAGATAAGCAGTTAGGTGCGGATTCTTTGATTAGTATTGTAGGGTCAGGGAAGTGATGTGTGTGATGTAAGATAAGCAGTTAGGTGCGGATTCTTTGATTAGTATTGTAGGGTCAGGGAAGTGGTAAGTGGGAGGTGAAGTATATTTTATTTTTGTCAGGTGTCGTGTTGCTAGCGGGTAAAGGTTTGCGGTGTTGTGATTCAAGTTGTTGGACGGTGTTGGATGCGTTTGGGTTGTGGTTCTTTGTGCCGTGTG